TGCTTTTATACTCTTGGTCAATGTCCAGACTCCAATCCTAACCATTTCATTGCCAGGTTTGGCAACTATTTTGAAGTCGGGGTTCACTCTTGTAATGTCATATCAGAAATGGCAAGAACTTTTTAGGTTACCTTGTATTTAAAGAAACATCAACTAGACATTAGGTTACAACAATACTATGTTATTATTACAAAAATAATAATCTAATAGGTTAGAAAGGTTTTTAGCACTTTTAAAACTATCAGTGTTACATTAGAATCAACTGTATGAATTAAAGTACTATTTTGTAGATTTTTAATGTTTCGTGTTAAAATAAAATGGTTTTCTATTATACACGATGCTTCTGTATAACATTATAACAATCTTGAAAAACAAAATATCTATGAATAAAATAACATTTTTGAGGGATGATGAAAAAATTACCATAAAAAATAGACTCCCAGCCAGATTCATGAAACTTAAACTGGCTGTTTTAATTATACCTGCATTTATAAAAAGTCTGAAAAAGTCTAAACTGCTTTTAAACTTCTAATTCAGAATTAACAATGGTCTGTACTCATAGCTGCTAACCTTAAAATATGAAAAACCAGAAATTTCCGAGAGGTTTTCGTGCTGTGCAGCAAAGTCATTTCAAAAGAACTTCAAATTGACTTTACAATCCATGGTTCAGGTCACTGAACTACTTACAATAAGATTCTAATGCTAAATATATTAATATTTAATAGGATATTCTATATTTTATGTTCTTTTGCTAATTTTATTCATAATTTTCTTACACTTTTATACTGAGAAAAATCTTCAGTATGGAAGAAAAGCTTTTCATTATGTATTTTTATATAAATTGAAAATAAAATTAATAACTAATATACATACATTACTGGAAGTGGTAAAACAACAAGAATCAGCATAATATTCATAAAGCAGGACTAGTTTCAAAAGCTTAAATATAGAAAACTTTGTATACTGTGCAAAAAAAATGAGATAGTTCTGTACCTTGAATTCTACTGCGTCGATTGGCGAAATTTAAATTGCGTTTTTCATGTCTCGAAAGTGCAACTTAGGATATGCATTATATTTATATATAGCATTGTTCTAATATAGGTATTTTGGCACAAAATTGGACTTTTTCTAAAATGACATGCCATTTTTTTTTTCATATTTTGATTCTATGACTCAAATTATGCCAAACTGCTAAGTTTTGTAAAAATCGCACAAGTAGTTTTTTGAAAAATTGCCTTTAAAAGATTTCCTAAAATCACTCTCAATATTTTAGCTTCTCAATGTTAATTCAATTTGGTATGTATTTATTAATGTCTCTCTTTTTTTTTTTTTTTTTTTTTTTTGTTACACTTACTTGATTCCTTCTTTCACAGTTCAAAATTTTATGATTTATTTTTAAAATTTGTATTTTAAAATAATTTTTATAAACTTTTCAAAACAATTTAGAATTATTACCTATAAAAGTTTTATCGTCATCTTAAAGCAGATGTATTTCTAAGCATAACTGCAAAAAATTAGAGCTTTTTATTCAAAATTTCTGAAAATATACATGAATTTATATATTGGCATGTTTAAAATTTGACACATTTGTTGAAAGCGATAATAACATCTAATGAGGTTTATGCACTTTGTTAAAATTATTTGAAAGTTGGAATAATGTGACTTTGTTTCCTCTCATGCACAATGTAAAAAAGAAAAGGAAAATAGATTGCCATAAATTAAGAAGTTCGCCAAGTGAATTATTCTTAACACAGAATGAAAAAAAATATGCCACAATAAATTTTTGAATTTCTCCATAAATTTCACATTAAATTTTACAAAATTAAATATTTAAGCATAATTTGAGTTGTAGAATCGAAATATGGAAAAAAATTGCCATGTTATTTTGGTCAATTGGCATAGTAGAACGGGAGCTATAGAACTGTCCCTTTTTACTTCCTACAGGAAGTGAAAAGGAAGTCTTGTAATCACAAAAAATTTCAGGCCTCATATTTCAACGAAAATATCCATTTTGACCACTATCGAATGCAATTTAACGATGCTTTTGTGTGACATCTGTATGTAAGGACAGAATAAAAAACACATTTTCCCTCCCAAAAAATTATAAAACTGATTTAAAATGAATTCTAAAAAGAATTTTTCATTGCGTCTGTGCTTACGTGCATATCTTGCATAACTAAAAACGAGTAGCCTCAGAATGTTGAAATTTTGTATGTAGGACTGTTATAACATGTAGATATGCACCTCGTATTTTGGTTGCAATCAGCCGCACCAAAAGTATATAAATTTTATGTGTGTATATATATATATATACATCCACTTTGTTACTCGGCTCAGTGAACTCAGTTTCTTTATTCTTTTAAGTTTGTAAATTGTGTATTTTTTGCTTTAAAAGTTATTGAATTCTGTTGTTCTTATGTTAAACCACTTGAGGTTTTTATGCCTTTAGGAAATCTGCACACAATATTTGTAGACTTATCAACAATTTAAAAAGCTGTTTAAGTGCGGCTAAGCCTAATTTTTAAATACCATGGCGGCCATGTTCGTTTACATTTTAAACAGCAGAATACTGGATTTGTTGCCAATTTAGAGGAACTAAGCTTCGCAACAACAAAGATAACGCATTCATTTATTATTGCGAATTAAATCCTGCTTCATCCATTCTGGAATTTTTTCGAGGAAATAAATCTTTAAGATTTACTTTGTAATTTTTAATATAGATATTTTGAGTTTTTATGTATTTTTGCCTTGTCGCGAAGTAAGAATTGAATTAATTGAATGAGAAATACTGAATCGTCTGTGAAAAACTGTTTCTTTTTTTTTAAATTTATTTTACACATCATTTCAGATTTATTATAGTATTTGAATAGAACATTGTCAAAAATTAGATAATTCGATACTTTCCTGTTTCGCCGGCGCATATCTCGCCAAGCAGTCTTTGTTGGCGACAACATACAATATACGCATAAAAAATGTTAAAAAATGCTAGTTCTAAGAATTTTTTTTTATTTTGAAAGCATAAACTTTTTAATATGGTTTAAAATTTTGTAAAAAGCCAATAAATAAAGGCAATAAATCTGTAAAAAGACATTAATTTAAGAATTTACTATGCTATCATGGTTCAACATCCTGATTCGCCGGTTTGTATCACGTGACCCCAAGTGATCTCATCTCACGTAAACTGCGCTACAAAAATATAATTCTCTCAGTAATTATCTACATTAATTTCAAGTTACATCTTAATTTGGAATACAAATTTAAATGAAAGAATTATTTCAGTTCGAACGAATAGCTTACTCAGAAATTATGTAAAACCATAGTGCTTTACTTCGCTAGTGCATTTTCATTAGAATTGATGAATTTAACTCTTGATTTTGCCTTTTCTATATTTTCGCCTTCGGGCGAGCAGTGTGATTGCATCCTAATTGACTTAATTACCGCGAATGGTCTTAGGGCATAAAATTAATTAATTTTTGTAAATATTCTATGTAATTGTATGCTAGTATTGAAACAAACACTCAATCTGGTAAGAAATGGCTGTGACTTGTTTTGAAAATGGGGCATAAAAGATTACCAGCGAAGATATTCCGTTTGGCATCAGTTGTACCATTATTGGCGACTTTATCATTTGCATCAGCAAAACGGAAAAGTACCGATAATTCTTGAGAATGATATAAATTTTACGCGTTTTGAGTTATAAAATGAATGAAATGTAATGCTGTTAAGTGAACATAGTGCCAGACTGTCACTACGGTAAACAAATATAGTTAATTTTAAAAAGTGCATTTATTCTGTTGTGATTTATGAGCTATTGAAGAAGAATATTTAATTCAATCCAATAGGCTTGAATGAAATGAAAGAAAAACTGTGTATAATTTAATATTCCGTACAAGGAAGTCATGTGGTGCACACATCTTTTTTTTTTTTTTTTTTTTTTTTTTTTTGGCGCAGTGTACATAAGGATGATAAGGCATCTGTTAGGAAAAGAAGTATATAAATCATCTGTTGCCCAATACTATTGACCGAAAAAAGTTACATTTTCCATGTTTCAGCAGCCAAAATTTTTCAAAAAGCATATTCCGTAGGCAAATTAATATTTTCTTAGAGCTGTTGTACTTTTATAACATTTTTTTAGTTCTATATAATGCTTTTAACTGCTATCCATCTTTACGCTCAGCTTTTAAGGAAATTATTTTGTAGTTTTTTCTTCATCCATCAATAAATGGTGCCAGTAGCTTGTCTTTTTTATTGTCACAGTTATCGCTTCAGCAGAGGCTTTCCTTTCATTGTTTGCACTGTACAGCTGAAGAAGTAGATTCTAAATATTTAAACCTTCTAAATTGGTCTTGCTTTAGAATTATTAATCTGATTCTTGTTGCCTTAAAACTTCTGATAATTGTTATTTGGTGTCTTATTTTAAATCAGATTTAATGTACATTTTATTGTATGGATAAGATTGGAAATGTATTTGCTTGAATCTTCATAAAATCTTTTACAAGTACATTAAGACAATGCAGATCAAATACAATATGATATGAAAAAATATGATGAAATCACCAGAAAAGGAATTTATACAATTTAAGTTTCATCATTTGAATATATTTCATTTATTGATGGAAAATATGTTCCTATGTAGAGTTTAAAAATTCAAAACTAGGAGATTCAGTGATCTAGCAGGAAATCAGGAGATCAATGAAAAACCGGGAAGTCTTTTCATAAAACTGAGAAAGTTGGCAACTATGACTGCGAAAATGACTGAAAAAATAATTGTGTGCCGCTTTACAAAAATCCTTTATTTGTATTTTTAATATTTTAGCTTCTATACAATTAAAAAAAGGAAAAAATCAGCTATCCAACATCAATTACTTAATTTTAAATAATAATTAATTATTTTTCTTAGCATTGCTTAAATATGGCCCATAAATTGAAATATACAATATTTGTTGTAATGGGTTTACAATATTAGTACTTAAAAAGTATTTTTCAAATAAAAAAGTTACCTGTTCTTCAACCTGTTGCTCCAGATTTGAAATAATTTGATCCTTGCAAGCTTGGTCTGCATTAGCCATACAGTCTTGAAAGGTATCACCACTCACCCCAAGACTCTGAAGCTTTTGCTCCATTACTTGCATCTAAGAGAATTCAGTTATGTCAAATTATTGTAATTAAATTTCTTTGTAATATCAAGGTCACATTTTAGTAATTACTACAGCAATAGAAGTTCTACCTTTTGTCTAGCTTCATTGCTTCGTCTGTCTGCTTCAGCAGCCTTTTGTTCAAGTTCAGATAACTAATAAAACAAATATAAATAAATTTCTGAGCCCTTTAATTCATATTTTTAAACCTACAAAATGGCAGTTAAAATTTTAAAAAATCCCGAATTCCTTCCCAAACATACTTTAATATTACATTCACATTCATTAAGAAGTTATTAATCACATTTTCTAAATTCTTCATTAAAAATACCATAGCAACTGATTAAAAACAAAGTAAAGAAACCAAAATGAAACAAAATTTCTTCCTCTAAATATAATATGTAAAGGAAAACTGTTCAAAGAGCAATGATAGCTTATTTATAATACAGTACAAAGTCTGAAATCCAGACATAAAATAACCGGAATGATCTAAAATTTGGACCCCTGGATCAAGAGCAACCCCCCTTTCATATACATAAGTTTTTATATTTTTTTATGCTTTACATTTGCAAATTTGAGAGTTTTTTTCATAAAAAAATATGGAGAGTTCTGTTTCTTAATTTCACTTCGACACTGATACAGTCCTAGAAAATCTATATTATTAAAATCTGTGCACGTCTGTGTGTTTTGGCATTATTTCCTCCGGAACGGTAGGGAGTTCAGTTTTGAGAGAGGTACCTCCGGATTCCAAAAAATTATGGGAAGCCATTTCGACCATTCTCATCTTCATACAACTTTGATTAGCTGAGATATTAATTAAAAACTCTGAAAATGCTAACTTTTGCCCTCATCTTTCCAAGTGACAACAATCTCGCATGCTAGAGATAAAAATCTGCTTTAATTCAAAAACTGCTGCCACTGCTCACTTTCAAATCATTGAATATGTTGATAAAAATTTGCAAGTTTTACAAAATATGGAATAAAAACAGCATTGCCAAACATTTAATACATTGCTCTGGATTACAAAAATTCGTTGGAAGCCATTTTGACTATTCTCATCTTCATGCAACTTTAATCAGTCGGGATATTAATTAAAAACTCTGAAAACACTAATTTTCGCAATCATTTTTCCGAGTGGTAACAGTCTCATGCATTGGAGATAAAAACCTCCAACACTTTCTTTCGAAATGTTACTACTGCTCGATATCAAATGGTAGAGTGTGTTAATAAAAAAATTTTAAACTTTTACAAAATATGAAATAATGCCCACTCCAATTAACACTGTAATGGAAAAGAATAAAAAATCCGAAAGCTTTCGCATTTTACATTATGACCAAAGGGACTTTTTTAATGTTTCATGTGTTACATTTATTTATTGAATATCATATTCTTTGCACTTAAACCATAAAATTCAATTCAATAGCAATACGTATTACAAAATATTTAAAAGAGCATATCTTTAGAATTTCAGATACACAAAATTTAGTGGAACATGTTTGTAGTCGCTAATACATTGCCAACAGTGTATAGCAGACACTAGCAAAGTTTTGTGATGATACATTTTCAGACACCATAAACAAAAAGTGAAATTTTCTAATTAATAGAATTTTTGAAGAAATGTGGAGAAGGGGTAATAAAACAAGTTGGTTTAACACAGAAATTTTTATTGCAAAGACAATGCCCAAAGCATCAGCCAAATAAGATGGTGAAATCTATAATAGGGTTTTAAATCCAGAAAATATTAATACTGGTAGTGAAGAAAGTAAGAAGTTATTGAGAACAAAAAAATCTCAATTGACAATTTAATGGGAATTATCGATGGGGCAATTAGAGTACTTGACAATGAAGCTTAGTAAGTGAACAAGCAATTATGTCTATCTACAGAATTAAAGAGAAAGCATTAGCATGGAAAGGGGAAGGCAAATTAAACAACTTATTAGACAAATTAAACATAGAAAGAAATGTTTTATGAATCAAAACAAATAAAAACTGGATTTTTTTTTGAAAATTTTAAATATTTACTTGAAAAAAATGAAAGAAAAAGATATACTTGTTTATGTAACAGGTAGGCAATCTCTATAAAGTAATACTCCTTTTTAATATTTGAATGAACACAAAGAAAACTTTAATTATGATGAATAAAAGCAATGCTCCAACAACAGAAAATAATTCTCACTTTTTGCCTCAAGAAGGTATTCAATCTGCGAATACTTTCATTAATTTTCAAGGAGAATTCACAAAGGTAAATTAAAGACAATTTGCATTCATGTTATACCTGAGAAAAATCATTAAAATACCATACAGCCAATTCATTAATTTATCAGGAGAAAATTGTGGATAAATGACTAGTGTTCAAAGTTCTTTTCAACTAGGGTATGAACACGCATGTAATAATTTAAGACTCTTCAATAAAACTGAATTTCTTGGTATCAACCTGTTGTAACCTATCTATCTGTGTTATTCCTACCACTTTATCTGTGAAAGGAATGCCTAAATTCGTTGGATGGTCATGGAAAAAATACTGGAATTTTGTAAAATTCTTGCAGATGCAGTTTTACACCAACAATTTTGCTATAAACTTTGTGGTAAGGAATTTCAAGAAAAATGATCAACCAATTATGAAGCAGTAACACAAATTCCTAGCATGGAACTAAAAAGGCATTATATTACACTTTCTTAATACCAAAACATATATTTTATTGGCTTTGTGCCCAAACCAAGTATCTGCAAACAACTGCTAAGGGAAAATGCCTTTATAGGCTGCTTTCATTACACATTCATTTTTACACATGCTTTTATTTTTAAGAAAAACAAGTTAATACTTTTACACACTATTTTGAATAAATTCAACTCAGAGAATACGTATTTCTTTTTTCAGGCTTATCACAAAACAACGAAAACTGACCCAGAAAATGGATGAAATTATAAACAGCAAAAGATGCAAAATTTGGCTTGCTGAAAAACTCATTTTTGAATAATGTGTTGAATGTATTTATCTGAAATCGCAAAGGGAAAAATTAAGGTTGTTTAAACATGAAAAACGATCCTGTCTTTGAAAAAGAAATGAAGAAATAATAGAAAAAAGTCTGAAACTCACATTTTGTTCGATATCTGCAAAAAATTTTGATTTTTTTCAAATCTCAAAAAATCTCACAAAATTCATGAAACTAATCACAAAAATTCAGACTGCAATAAAAATTATACATATAATTAACAGTATTATGATGTCCCATCATTTTATACAGAATGAAGTACTAAAAATTTAACCAAAGTATGATTTTACCATTAAACAGTCGTTTGTACGGTCAGCCACCTACAAAGGTTATCATTAAAAAGAGATTTTAGTGAGTTAAATTAGCGCAAGTTCATAAAAATATTTAAAATTTCTAATTCGATAATATTTTTAGGAACTGTGTTTATTTATCAAAATTGCTTAGTCTATGCTTATCTGAACCGCAAAGTTTCTGTGTGTGAAAGATAAAAGTATTTTATTTCAGGCAGTGGCCACATATAGCTTTTAAACAACTGAGTTTGTTGATTAAACTTAAAAGATAATTATCTTACATTTTACAGTACGGCAACAGCTTGGCAAGCTGGAGATAAAAATGTTTTATTTTTGAACAGTGTTACCACTGCTCGCTTTTAAATCACTGACTTTATCAATCAGAAATTCATTAAATTCATATTAAGTATCAAATAAATCAAAAACAAATCTGAAATTCAAAATTTGGGTTTCGAGGGGCACATGTTTAGGTGAAGGATTATGAGTATATTCAAAATCGGGTAGGAACCATCTTTTTCCCACAATGCAAGGAACATACAAACGTACAGATTCTTCATAGTAGAAAATAGATGTATAACTAAAAAATATTTCAATATACTGCTTTTCCTGGGCGAGGGGAAGAAAGAAAATACTTCTCTCACCAACCTTTTCTTGCAAGGATTGTTGTAACTCTGCCGTCTCCATTCGGAACCGTGCAAGATTTACTTTGAGCTGGTAATATCTTTGTTTCCAGTTAACATGCTGGTGAGGATCCTCAAGTTGACACCAACTGATTAAACCTTCATGATCTTCTTCTTCATCTTCCAATAAGGATGAGAAGAGGGAAGATGGAAACTCATCATTTGGAGGAGGTGGAGCAGGTGGTGGAGGTGGTTCTGATTCAGTCATTCTGATGATGATGCTTTATGGCACTTAGTTTAAAGCGCCCAACCTAATGAACAAAATTGACAACTGAAATTCTTGTGTTACAAAATTAATATACTTAAAATAGGTGCTACATTAACAGTTTGTAATCTGAGAACAATGCATAGCTGCCAACTTTGAAATCTGAAAAACCATGAGGTTTTCATTACGTATGGCAAGGCCATTTCAAAGGAGCTCCAAACTGACTTCAATTTCCTTTGTAATGCAAGATTCAGGTTACTGAACTATTTTTAATACAATTTTGATATAAAATACATTAGTATTTATTAGATATTCTAAATTTTATGGTCTTTGGATAGTTTCCTTTTGTAAATTTCTTACAATTTCATACTGAGAAAATCTCAAACAGGAGTAAAAAAAAGCTTTTATTAAAAAATAAAAAAAAAAATCTGAAATGTTTCAGATTTTAAATTACGTCCAAAGGGGCGTTTTTTAACATTTTGTGTGTTACCTTTCTTTATTAAATATCATGTTCCTCGCACTTAAACCATAAGATCCAGTGCAACAGCAATATCGCAAAATAGTTTTAAAACGAGCATATCTTTAGAATTTCTGATACAGAGACTCACGCGCTGGAGATAAAAATGTTTTTTCTGCACAACGTTGCCATTGCTCGCTTTAATCCTTGAGAATCAAAATTTCAAAGTTTTAAAAAATAAAATCGATCAAAAATTCAAATTGGTCTTACATGCCATATTCGTTGGAGATTAATAATTCATACTGTTGGCGCTTTTACGCCAACGAATCTCGCCAAATTATCGCCTCCTACGATTGAGGCAACAGACTTGAAGAAGAAATCTAACCGGTCTGACGTGAGCAATTACTTGTAACCGAAGCTCACAATTAAATTGTATTTTGCTTCACTGTAAATATTTGTATATGATGTTTTTCTAAATAAAATAATTAAAAACGAAGCAGTGAAGCTGGTCCGTCGATAAAAAATAACCTTTAAGAAAAATAAGTTTATTCATCTGGCTCCGTCGACCCTGGAGCCTACTTCAGCGGTATGGATATATTAATGAAAAGCAAAGCATCCCTAAAGGGGAAAATAACTAGATTCGAAACTTTTGTGCAAACTGCAAATAATGATGTGGACTTAGTTGAACTTAAAGTTAAACTAAAAAACATTCAAGCTCTTCAAAAGAAAGTTGATGAACTACGAAGTGCGTGCTACGCACAAAGTGAAATGAAAGATGATGATCTGACCAAAATTGATGACGACTTAAACCAATGTGATGATCGTCTGGAAAAATTGGAGGTAAGAATTGAAATTCTCATTAATTCTTACAATAAGTTAAATTCTGCAAAAGCAGTAAATGTTACTGAAAGTAATGTAGATGAAAATTTTCAAATCAAAACTAAAATCCCAGCGTTAGTTTTGCCTGAATTTTCAGGAAAATATGAAGAATTTAGTTCATTTAAAACTCAATTTGATGATTTAATTACAAATAATGTTCAGCTGAGTCATTCACAGAAATTGTATTATCTAAGATCTTGTCTTACTAATGATGCTAAGCATTTAGGTAGTAACTTTGATAATTTTGAATCTTTGTACAATGCTTTAGAATCTCGCTATGATAATGAACGTCTGATTGTTGACATTCATGTGCAGAATATTTTAAATTTTGAAAAGATTCAATCCGAAAATGCGAAAGATATCAGAAGTATGATTGATTGTATACAAAAGAATTTACGCGCTTTGAAAGTATTAAAATATGAACAGAACAAGTTATGTGATGTTTTTCTAATAAATATTCTTCTTCAAAAACTAGATAAAGAATCTAGAAAAAATTTTGAATTATCTCACAAATCGAAAGTAGTTCCAACATTTGACGAGTTTATTAGATTTTTGGAACAGCGTGAATCAGTTTTGTTATCTATAAATAGAAATATTACACCCGGAAGTAGGGTTAATATAAACAAGAATTCCACTCCTTCCCATAAATCGAAGGTTCTTTTGACAAATGAAAATAATAAAAATTGTGTTGTGTGTAGGAGCCTTCATCCTATTTTCCTTTGCGATACATTCTTAAAGTTAAGTGTTCATGAAAGATTAAAATTAATTCGTTCACATAAACTCTGCGAATTATGTCTAAAGCAAAATCATAAGAAAAGTCAGTGTCTCTCGAAATTTAAATGCGCTTGCGGGGAAAAACACAATAAATTAATATGCATGGATAATGAAGGTCATTCGAAGACTCCTTGTCGCTCGGTGACGCCACTTAGACAAAACAAAAGTGAGCTCGATGCCGCCGCTGGAAAAGGTGACTCAGAATTGAAAGCGTTGAGTGTTTTAAGTAACAAGAATAAACAAAAAAGAAAAAGTGTACTTTTTTCTACTGCAGAGATTTATGTCCGTGACGCCAATAATCGAAGAATAAAAATCCGTGCGATTTTAGACAGCGCATCTAATATATGTGTTCTTACAGATAAAATAAGTGAATGCTTAGGAATAAAAAGGGAGAAAATTAAAATGCCTGTTACAGGTCTTAATGGATCAATTCAAAATATTAAATGGAAAGTGAATACATTTATTTCAAATGAAGAATGTACCTTTAATGAACCAGTTGAATTCTTGATTGTAAATAAGATAACAGGACTAACTCCGTGTACTACGTTAGATATTTCGAAAGTAGAAATTCCACAATTTTTAAATTTAGCTGATAAATCATTTTATGAAGCTTCAGAGGTACATGCCCTTATAAGTGCTGATTTATTTTTTAAGGTTTTGAAAAATAATACGTATAAAATAAATGATGATTTATTGTTTAAAGAGTCTGAATTCGGATGGATCGCATGCGGGAAGCTTAACGAAATACAACCTTCTTATCAGGGACATTGTTTTTCTTGTGCAAAATGACTCTCTTCAAAATACTTTAAAACTTTTCTTTGATTTAGAGGGACTTGGTATTCGTGATGATCCAGTTTTGCATGAAAAGGATCAGGCAATGGAAATTTTTAATGACACCGTTGAATTTAAAAATGGACGTTATGTAGTACAACTACCTTTTAGGAAACATTATGAAGAATTATCTGATAATTATTCCTTGGCGCGGCAGCGTTTTCAGAATTTGTGGAGAAGATTTAGTCATGATCCTGAGTTACATCAACAATACCGTGAAATTATTTGTGATTATTTAAAAGAAGGCATAATCAGCATCGTAAATCCTGATACAAAAGAAAATGCTTTAAATAGGCCTATATATTATTTGCCTCATCAGGCTGTGCGGAAAGAAAGTAGTTTAACGTCGAAAACTAGGATCGTCTTTGATGCGGGTAGTCATCAAAATAATGAACTTTCTTTAAATGACTGCTTGTGGCCAGGGGTTAACTTAAATCCAAATCTTTTGGATTTACTAATTAATTTCAGATTGAACAAAATTGCATTTTGTTCAGATGTTAAACAAGCTTTTCTGCAGATATGCCTCTCTGATGAACATAAGGATGCAGTTCGTTTTCTTTGGAGTAGTGATGATCCAAGTGTTGATAAAAGGCCCAATTTACAGATTTACCGTTTCAATCGAGTAAATTTCGGGGTCAGTTCGAGCCCATTCCTGTTAGCAGCTACTATTAGACATCATATTAAAAAATACAAGGAAGATTTTCCCGAAACAGTTGAAATTTTAGACCAGTGTTTTTATGTAGATGATCTCATTTCTGGAAGTGAGGATTTTGAAGAAGCACTTGAAGTATCTAAAAATGCCAAGAAAATTATGGAAGAGGCTGGAATGGTCCTCAGGAAGTGGATTAGCAATAATGCTGAATTAATGGAGCAATGGAAGAATGAAGAATTCGATACCTATCCTGCAGACGCTACTCTCAGCTTGGGCGCACACCAAACTAAAATCTTGGGACTTTCTTGGAAGACGCACGAAGATTATTTAACTATGGATACTAAAAATCTTTTGGAATTTCTTTCTATGGACAAAAATACGAAACGCTTCTTACTTCAAGCAATAGGGAAGATATTTGATCCTTTAGGATTAATTTCGCCTTTCACCATTCGAGTTAAATGCCTCATCCAAGATCTCTGGAATGAAAAAATTCAGTGGGATGAACCTTTACCAAAAGAAATTGAAAAGGAATGGAAGAAGTGGTGTGCTGAACTTCATCACTTAGAAAATTTGAAAATACCTAGGTTGGTTAATGATTCTGCATCAAAGGAAGATACTGTTGAAATACACAGTTTTTGCGACGCAAGTAAAAAGGCATATGGCGCTGCCATATATTTGAAGGTGAAGACACTCAGTGGAATATCGGTGAAACTCCTAACTTCAAAAAGTCGTGTGGCTCCATTAAACGGTGTAACCTTACCAAGATTAGAACTATTGGGTGCTCTAGTTGCAGCTCGTCTTAGTTCTAAGGTAAAGAGAATCGTGAATCTGAAAAGATCTTCTGTTGAATACCATTGGACAGATTCCAAGATTGCACTTTTTTGGATAAAGGGTGCAAAAACCCGATGGAAGCAATTTGTGGCAAACCGAGTGAACGAAATCACCAGCTTGACAGATCCCAACTCTTGGCATCACTGTGCAGGTAAAGAAAATCCTGCCGATCTTCTCTCACGTGGAATGAATGCTGATTCCTTGGTGACAGATTCTAGATGGTGGACAGGTCCAGAATTCTTGATGCAGCCTGACAGTTTCAAGAACTTGCAACCATTTATTCCTGAGATTGAAACCATCGAACAAGTCGAAAAAGAAACTTTGCGGCGAGAAAGGAAAATTCCTTTTGAAGATGAGACTTGTAAAGAGACAGCCCTGCTAAATGACAGCTCTCAACATTTTATTGTGGACGACCTCTTAGAACTTTCAAACAATTATTATAAAATTAACCATGTTTTGTCTTATATTTTCAGGTTTATTTTCAATTGCAGGAATAAGGTAAAAAACACAGGACCACTGTCAGTGGAGGAGGTAAGAGAAGCCGAAGAAGTGTTGATTAAGCATGAACAACGAGTTCTCCTTGAAGGAAAGAAACTGCCAAGTAATATTTCGAATTTATTTCCGTTTTTTGATGACAAAGGAATAGTAC